TTGCGTAACATATCCCCAACAGAGGCCCAAGATAGCCAACATATCCCCAACATATGCCCAACATAGCCTCAAGATGGCTCAACATAGAGCCAACATCGGCCAACATGGGGCCAACATACGCCAACATAGGGCCAACATAGGCCCAACATAGGCCCAACCTAGGCCAACATAGGCCAACATAGGCCTAACATAGGCCAACATAGGCCCAACATAGGCTCAACATGGGCCCAAGATGTGCCCAACATACACCACATGGGCCCCACTTGGCCCAACCTAGGGCCAAGATGCGCACCAGATAGCCAGATAGCTTCACTTTGCTCAATATAGGCCCCACCAAGGCCAACATAGGCGTGACGTACGCCCCACAGACCCAAGTGGGCCGGCGCCCGGCTGTTAGGCGTAAGCCTTTAAATAACATAATTCTGCTTATTGCAGTCATTAGAGATGGCATAAAGCGAAATGCAATCAACAGCGAAGTTGATTCCACAATGGTATTTATCTGGATAAGAAATTGTTGCTCAAAAGCCGACTCGGAACAGGCAGAAGATGGAACATCAACATTATCTGGGGTTGGAACACGTATCGCCGCTGAACCTGTTGCAGTTGGCCAAACTCAAGCGCTTGGCCCCCAAGGCAAAGCATGCAAACTGTGTCGTAACTCTCGGTGCATGTCCAGTGATCAAACCAAATTAGGTTGCTGCTGGGTAGGCTTCATGCTCTCTGATCCACACAGGATACCCATGGGTGTTGCAAAAAGGTTTGCTTTTCTTGCAGCTCATGTGTGTTTGCGTGTGTCAAGCTTGCTCTACTTTGTTCAGAGTGCACATCTTCTTGGTGCCATTTGTTTCAATAGGTTGATGCTGCTTGGCGGCAAATTGTTCTGCATGCTCCCCTGACAAACCTGGTGGACACACACGCTGACAAATAACATGAGATTGCTCAGCACTTTTGTGGTCGCCTCATTCAAGTTGCGAAAACGCCAAGGCTCCGCTCTGCTTAAAGTGCTGAAAAAGCATAATCGCCTCACCAACGGGAGAGGACGCACTCAAGCTCTGCCGATTCCACTTTGTTGAATCGGATAAGGCTCACTGAACCGAATTACTCACGGGAGCTGCGGAGCAAGTCTGAAGAAGAACACAACTAGTGCAGACTTTGAGAATGTACGGAAATGCGGCAGCTTCTGATCTCTGGAAGATTACTCCAGCGCATTTGAGCGCAGAAGCTTCCAAAAAGCGCGATGCATGACATGGCTCATCTCAATTGGCCAAATCCCGCCGGTCTCCGGGTCTCAGCAAACATGCACGAAACCCAACACAAGAACTGCTCAAGTACCCAGGATACTTGTATGTCTGTGTACATACCCATTTCTTATACATCTATGTATATACGGATTCCCAAACGAAAGCATTAAGTTCCTCACAATACTGCTGTACCGTTTTCAAATTGTGTTGTAGTTGTTCTACTATCGTTTCTCTTTTCTCTCACACATATAGTGCATCAAAGTTGTCACTGCTTGCATCAACTTCCATCCTACACCGACCCTGTCTTGCGCCTCATGATTGGATTCACTCTTGTCTTACTGTGAATCTGCGTCTTTCGCTACATCAAACAGGGCCGTTAGCACTGGCATTTGTGTTGCGGCTTGTACACATTGAGATTTGGGGAAAGTACGCAAATAAATATATATATATATATATAAATCAATCCCAAACCTCGGTGTTGCTCAGAACCGAGTTCACTTGGACACAACAGAGTTTCAAAACTCAGCGGTTGACCTCCAGGTCGGAACACAAGCCAAGGTCTGTCCCTCTTCCTAGTTCCTGGTCAGTACTTGACTGGGGGACGCAACAAAATAGGTAAGCGCTGCACTAACAATGCGCGCGTAAATTCACTAGAACTGTCAGTCAATCAGCTCAATACCTCTGCCACGTAAAAATATAGAAACATGTCTCTGCAAAGGAAGAACGCTTGCAAAGTAGTGAGCTCCCATGCAGATCTTGAACTAAAGCAAGCATGATAAACGCAGGCTTTGCCGTCCTGGAACTTTTTGCGGCAGTAACGAGAGTGCTCAATGTTCAGAAAAAATGTCGTATACAGAAAAGTATCGTAAAACAGTTCAGGCACAAAATGAAATTGGGATTCTCTTAGACCGTGGCCGATTTGGACAAGCGTGCCCGAAGGCTAGCCTCGCCAGTCATCCGAAACCTCAAAAAGAACACAATATGTCAATGTGTTTTTTCATGTAAGAATATACATGCTAATATTGTTGAAACATTGTTGTTGCTTTCCATGTATATTATACCACATATGTCCACTACCTAACCTGTTGGACACTCTTGTAGGGCACACTCTTGTGGCACACTCTTGTGGGACACTCTTGTAAGGGCACTCTTGGGGGACGCTATTGGTGCACTTTTGCGGCGCCGTCTTGTGGGACACTCTCCAGCGACATTTCACGCAAGACCCCCTCCAAAACTCAAGCGTCAAGTCTCCAAAACGAGCGTTTCGCACGAGACCAAGTCATGCGTCAATTCTCCAAAACGAACATTTTGCATAAGATTTCCTCCCAGGTCACGTGTAAAGGTCTCCAAAGCGAGCGTTGCGTACGAGACTAAGCGTCACGACCTCACGGTTCCCTGCGCCTGCCACGCAAATTTGACTTCCACACCTCCAACACGAAGGGCTGCGCCTGCCACGAAAAGTTACCACATCACATCTTCATGTCTTCAGTCAGTTTTGCACCACACCACGCGTTTCAATTGATGTTTACCCGTTGCTGCTTCACCCAGATCTCTCACAATCGCAGTTTTACCTGAGACACGTCCCGAACGTACAGCTTCGATGCAAAGGCCTGAAAAACGAATCCCAATGGCACAGATACCAGGATGTCCGTGGCTGCGTCGGTGGCAGCTGAAGAGTCCCTAAACAAGACACGACCCTTGTACTATCCGTTTTGAACCTTTGGCATATACCCCGGTGGGGTCTTCAAGCCCTCTGCCATGTGTGCTTTGAGGAGGGTCGAACAAAGAAGGCGCTGGAAGTCAACGCGGTCTCGATCACATACAGCGCCGGCTTTGGACCGGCTCGGCTCGGAGAAGCGTCCAGCAAGCCCGGCTGCAGCAGCGGCCAGAAGAGGAGAACCAAAGGCACAGCTGCCACGCACGCGGAGCACCGAAGGGATGTGCCCCGCTGCTGGGGGATGGGGCCCTCCTGCACGCAGAACCGTCTCAGAAGAGCCACGGGAGACAAACGGAAACAAAGCAGAATCATCTCAACTTAGCGTCCAGAAGAGAGATGGAAGACAAGGGGAGACAGTCAGAACCTTGGCCCAGGATTGTTCTACGCAAGAATTGGGAGCCTCTCACAGCAAAGCTGTTTGGCGAAAAGTCTGTCGCGGCAGGCGCAGTCCATTGGCAAAAAGTACTGCAGGTTTTGCAGCGCTGGACAGGGGTTCACGGGCACCTCTCCCGCAGAGCAAACCAAAAATTGTTCGGCTGCGTCAGTTAAGCTTGACTTGACGTGCAACGAATCAGCTTCGGACGAAAATCTTTTTCGCTCAAACTTGAAAGTCTCTGTTCAAAAGTGCTTTGGTTAATGTGACACCGTCACAGCAGCCCTCGCTGCATGCACCTCTGGCGCATACCTCTGCCAGGTATACGTTTCCTACCCGTACCTGGTAGACTCCCTGCCTTAAAGTAGTCAAGAGGATACTGAATGTCAGTCCGCCACAGAGTCCCAACTCGTGTACTGCGTAAATAGGAATCAAACGCAGTGACCTACCATTGCACCGCAATGTCACTGACGAGGGGTATCAGCACTCGCGACAGGAGTATTTGGCCAAGCCGACAGCTGCAATTCATCTGGCATCATGCAGGCTGCTGCCAGCAAAGAAAAGCATCAGATCGTAGACGAGAAATTGAACTGGACCTGTGGTACTCTGCAGACAGCTACCACTTGAAATCGCTCACGACTGGAGCATTTAGCCAAGCCGACAGCTGCAAGGGGGGCCAGCATCCTGCAGACTGCTGCCAGCATGGACACGATCATCGCGAAACTTCAAAGTAACCAGTGGTACCCTGCAGATTGCGACCACAAAGCAGGCCTCTCGTAGGTAGACGCTGCACAGGCGACTGGAAGAACCACTCAGATGCACCGCAAACGTGGACACTCTGGCCGACAGCTGCCACAGGATCCTGGGTCGGAAAGAAATTTTCGAACCATCAGTGGCACCGATTCTTCAGGAGAGGCACTCCTTTTGGCTTGAGCCCCATGGAGCTTAAAAGGAGTGAACTTAACATGAATGACATCAAATAATTCCTCATCACCGACCCTGCCTACCTTGAATGAATGAATATATTCGGCTGCATCAGTTAAGCTTGACTTGAGGTGGAACGAATCAGCTTCGGACGAAAATCTTTTTCGCTCAAACTTGAAAGTCTCTGTTCAAAAGTGCTTTGGTTAATGTGACACCGTCACAGCAGCCCTCGCTGCATGCACCTCTGGCGCAAACCTCTGCCAGGTATACGTTTCCTACCCGTACCTGGTAGACTCCCTGCCTTAAAGTAGTCAAGAGGATACTGAATGTCAGTCCGCCATAGAGTCCCAACTCGTGTACTGCACAAATAGGAATCAAACGCAGTGACCTACCATTGCACCGCAATGTCACTGACGAGGGGTATCAGCGCCCACGACAGGAGTATTTGGCCAAGCCGACAGCTGCAATTCATCTGGCATCATGCAGGCTGCTGCCAGCAAAGAAAAGCATCAGATCGTAGACGAGAAATTGAACTGGACCTGTGGTACTCTGCAGACAGCTACCACTTGAAATCGCTCACGACTGGAGCGTTTAGCCAAGCCGAGAGCTGAAAGGGGGGCCAGCATCCTGCAGACTGCTGCCAGCATGGACACGATCATCACGAAACTTCAAAGTAACCAGTGGTACCCCGCAGATTGCGATGCACAGGCGACTGGAAGACCACTCAGACGCACCGCAAACGTGGACACTCTGGCCGACAGCTGCCACAGGATCCTGGGTGGGAAAGAAATTTTCGAACCATCAGTGGCACCGATTCTTCAGGAGAGGCACTCCTTGTGGCTTGAGCCCCAAGCTTAAAAGGAGTGAACTTAACATGAATGACATCAAATAATTCCTCATCACCGACCCTGCTTACCTTGAATGAATGAATATATTCGGCTGCATCAGTTAAGCTTGACTTGAGGTGGAACGAATCAGCTTCGGACGAAAATCTTTTTCGCTCAAACTTGAAAGTCTCTGTTCAAAAGTGAATTGGTTAATGTGACACCAGCAGCCCTCGCTGCATGCACCCCTGGTGCATACCTCTGCCAGGTATACGTTTCCAATGCACTCAGAAACACCCAAAGCACTCAGAAGAACTGGAAGACATGACTTATAAGGGTATATGGTAGGTGGAGTAGGAGGAGGTGCTGGAACTCGATGTACACGAAAACTCGTCATGATATCCTTGCCTGCTTGTACCATCGGACCCATTGTCGGCTGACTGAACCCATCCGAAGTAGCAGCCGCTTCGTAAGGAGTAAAGCAAAACGTGGGTGCACCCTGCCATGTTGTCCAACTCGGGGTCGTCGCTTCTGCCCCTGACCAGGGCCATCACGGCTGCGATGTTGTCCACGAACCAGAGCCCCTGGCAGGAGCGGGCCTGACTGGCCACAAAAATGAAGCCAACATAGACCGTCAATAACTCCAGTTGGGCGATCTTGGTGGCATGGTCGGACCACAATGCAAAGAGCTCTTCCGTGATGTCCACTACATAGGCGTCCCGTTCGCCATGAGGCCCGACAAACAGAAGGCCGGCCGAACCTTGACGAGGTTCATCTGGGCCGCGTCCGATGCTGCGAGATATCGTTGCTGACTGCCGGGTTGAAGTGGCAACTCACGCTCAGGTTTGGGGGCCAGGAGGGACTTGATGGTCGCAAACAACTGGATGTCCTGTGGGTACTGACGTTCCTTCAAGGTGCTCAGACCTGATCTCCCCAGCTTACCAAAACACCCAGTGTTGAGAAAACCCAGGCAACCAAACAGCTTTGCAGCAAGACCTGGTTCGCTTCATTCACGAGGTCCGTGACCTTAGTGAGCAAACGGTCGCGAGGCCAAAACCGTACAGGGTGACCAAGGTGACATTGACCAACATCGTGAACAAAAGTCCCAAGAAGTCCGACTGACTCTGCAGTGCCTGATGCTCTCGGGCTGGAAGGGCGATCCCATTTGAGTAGCCAGGCTAGTAATAAACTGTTGGGCGGAACCTCTCATACTGCCAAGGTCTCGCACTGTCAGGTCATCAAAATACATGCTTGCAAAACAGAATCCCATGCGACGGCAAACTGCCTGGAAGAACCGAGGGAACCGATGGTAACGGCGAAATCGCGGTTCTTGGACATGATAGTCGTGGTATAGGCGACGGCGGCAAGGTCAGATTGCGCTGGGATCATGGGCATGTGTCTGTAGGCGTTCGGGAGGTCCTCCCCCCCTGAGCAGATGCCCTCTGCTAGCAGTCTCTCTGCAGACGGCTCGCCAGAGTAGCTGGACGTGAAGTCCCGCACGATACTGGTGCACAAGTCCAACTTGCTGGAGTCATGGCTCAGTTCACTCTGGCCTCCATCAGCCGCATCGTCGATAACCCTCAGTTTGCCACTGGGCTGTACACCATCAGTGCTGCGAACCCTGTCTCCTGAGAGAAATGCACTGGTACAGCCCGGGCTGGGCGGAGGCCGGCAGCCCACAGGACTACCCTGCGCACGCCCGCAGTTAGTGAAGTGGCAGTAGTCCAGACAAGGGCACGAAGGTTATCTCCATGGCATAGGACATTGTGTGGGCAGTCCCATATCAATGTACAACCATGCAACGACGGTAAGGCATCCAGCAAGTGATCTTGGTCATGGATCCATCGGGCATACTGTAGGACACTCTGTGAGGCTGCGCGACCTTCTCCTGCCGTGAAGGGATTCTGCGCCGGCTGCAGCCCGGGCAGACCACTGCCCACGTTCCTCCACATCCAGGCGCTGCAGCAAAACAAGGTATCGTAGGGCACCTGCACGTAGTCCACGCTGTTGCTGGCCAAAGTCTCAGGGGAAGCAGGTGGTGGTTTGACAGGCTTGCAACCAACAATTGCCAGGGCCTATAGGTAGGTCTCGAGCTTCATGAGGTAGGCCAACCAAGTCTTGGATGTGTCTCCTCGTGGTCATCCTCCTGGAGGTACAAGTTGTCCCCCACCTTACGGCGCTTCTGACTGTGCGTCCGCTGAAAAGTCAGGGAGCGAACACTCCACAAATCCATGACCTCCAACTGGCCACGATACAGCTGTGAGCTTGCTCAACAAGCGGTCGGAAGGAAACTGCCGAGGTTCAGGGCACATGTGGTAGCGCTTGTAGAAGGCCTCCTTCAAGGAATCCAGCTCCGATGTAAGCAACAAGGTCTCATCTTCTGGAAAAAGTCACGCTGTGTGACACCCCCTTTTCGGTCTTTGGCGACCTTGTCCATGGCCGAAACCACCAAACCAACATGGTTCCCACAAAACTTCAGGAGCTCCGGCCAGGAAGAGGGATGCAGCCAAGCGAAGCTGATGACCCTGCTTCTGCATGGGAGTCGTACCGCAAAGGAGTCTGTGCCGTAGATCTCCCACTGGCGACGTCGGTCCACTGACCGATAGCCAACCTTTCGGTATCCGTGAGGCGCACGATACCGGCCAGTGTAGGGACCACCCGCCAAAACCTGTATGAGCTGAGCTGCTGTGTATCCAATACGCCTTCGAAGTAGGGCTTGATCACCCTCAAGAACTACCCCATGCACACCGGAACGGCTGTGTCCGCATCGAAGGCCAAGTAGTGCCACCTGCGAGAGGCCTCACCATGCCGAGGACGAACCCGGTCCAAATGGCGCTTCAAGATGGCATACAGGTCCAGGCTCCCAACGTTCGTGGGAGAGACCAGGCAAACCCATCACGGGTGCCTGTTTCGCCTTTGTAACACCAGAACAACATGATTGCGGTGTTCGCTCCGATGAGGTAGCTCCGTTGTATAGGTGACAAAACCTAATGAGTCCGAATATCATTGCTGCTGAGGCCAGCAAAATGGGCCAATGAGCATGTTCAGCTGTGCATTCCAAGACTCCCAACAAATGAGTCACCATTCCAGGTTCGAGGGCAGCTGCTTGCGATTGTCCTTGCCCCAAGCGAGTGCTCCTGACAGGGGCAGGTTTGGACGCCTCGCCCAAGTCCAAGGCGACCCGCAAATTGCGAATCATCCAGCCCAAGGAAGTGAAGACGCGCGTAGGACCATGGTGCTCACGAACAAAGGTAGCCAAAGCATGGGGATCTGGGAAGGTGATGCCCATGTGATCCATGTACCGCACCAGGTCCTTCCATGTGTGAACAACTCGCTTGATAGTGGCCGCCTCAGTCTTGGCACAGAGCTTCCCCAAGCGGGTGTACCAATTTGCCATGTACTCGTCGCGGCGAGCCGGAGGCGGGGGCGCCGCTCCTGTGCTTTCTTCGGCCTGACCGGCCCGGGCAAAGGAAGACGGCTTAGAGCGGGCCACCGAAGATGTTGGCGGAGGTGTAGCCGCTGCACTTGAAGGCTGGCGAGGCCTAGATTGGCGAACTGTCTCCCTGGCAAACAAATTCCTCACCAAAGCCGCCATGCCCGGCTCACTCTCACGGCGGGCAAGCTCCCAGCCATCGGCCACAGCGCGGCCTGCCTCCTTGACGGCCTCCTCGTAGGAAACGAAGTAGAAGGCCAAGTCGCTAGGAGTCTCAATCCCAGCGGCAGCGCACCAACTATTCAGGCGCTCTTGCTCAACCGCGCGTCGAGCAATTTCATCAGCCATGGCAGCGCTGAAATAAATTTTCGAAGAATCAGTGGCACCGATTCTTCAGGAGAGGCACTCTTTTGGCTTGAGCCCCAAGCTTAAAAGGAGTGAACTTAACATGAATGACATGAAATAAATCCTCATCACCGACCCTGCCTACCTTGAATGAATGAATACAAAAGCCACCAGACTCAGAAGGCATTGCAAAATAGATCATCATCGAAAACTAGTCACCCCCTTGCCCCATCAATGAAGGTGACGCAAGGACCAAGGCAACCTGCAAATACTATCATGATTCAAACCTCGCACTTTTGGACCAGTGGACCACAGGGCAGGCGGACCAGGAAAAGGACCGGGGGACCAAAGCACCAGCAGACCAGGAGACCGAAGGACCAGGGGAAGGACCAAGGGACCAATCGACTAGGGGACCTACTCAAAATGATTCTTATTTTGATCTTGTTATTATTCCTTTTTGATCCTGTTCGTATCTATTTGTTGATCCTGTTCTTCTTTTGACAAGAATCTGTACTAAGGAATCCCTACTCTGTCTCTGATATCAAGCGTGTAACGCACGTCGAGGTGTGGTCGATACACCTCCTACTTCGTGGCACGAATGCTGAGGATGAGGTGGCTCTTCGAAACACGGATTGGTCCAAATGGCCAGTCGGTCAGCTTGCTGGATCACTCAATCCTGGGTACTTCCTAAAATGCACGTACCACACAACTCTTTCAGTCATCTTGATCTCCTTGTTACTACGGCAAAGTGCAGCAAATCTTCTGTGAACCTTCGTAACGAACTGCAACTTGGAGTCAGTGTGTGGGGCATTGGATTCAGCTGGGCAAGCCCTTCCTGGAAGGACTCCTAGCTTCGTCGCAATTTGAGCAGTGTTTTTTGGATACTACGGTGCATATTACTGGAAGCATACCTTCGCATCTGCCTTCGCAATCCATCGAATATTGAGCTTGGTTGAACTCATCCAGGAGCCGAACTTTTTCGTGTATACGGAAGCTGGATTCAGATCAAGCTCTTTGAACGGATAGCCCTGCAGCAAAACAGACACGAAAGAATCTTGCTAGAAAGGATTTTGTTACGAAAAGAAAGGAAACAAGGAAAAGAAAGCTCTGAATGTTTTACGAAAAATGAGCAGAAATAGTGTCTTTAAAGCTTTGCTTTCTTCACTTGCGCACGGACCGGCACCTCAGCATGAACTTTCTCTGCAGGGCAGTGGATTGAACAACTCAACTTGGCGGCCTGCATCAAATAAACCACAAACTGTTCTTCGCTCAGTGGTTGCTTGGTGATACCACTTACAAAAGGACAGACTGATGTATATAAAGCAACCCAGTTTTCAAACAAACCCACTTTTTGCGTTTCAACCCTGGAGGGCTTGGTCCTGCCCAGCTCCCTCTATATAACTGATAGCTCAGAAAGATGGAGCCGTCAATCGTACGAACACTGCAAAGTGTTCAATACATTAGCCAGCAAGCCGTGCACACTTAGGGCTAAGCTACTGGCATTTGAGACTTTGTCAAGCTCACCCTCACTTCCTTAAGAGCTATCATCCAACTACCCACTCTCGCACTTCTGCCTCCCGTCGGCAAGTATGGTCGTACCTCCCACAAGCTTGCATGGTATTGCACTACGTGAATCTTGTGGTGCATGATATTTGGGGTGCATATTGACTCCGATGGAAGCCGGCTTGAAGTTAGATTCGGAAAGGTCAGCGATGATCTATTATTGTCCATTCAACATTGTCAACGAGGAGCCAGTGGCACCTGTCCCAGCCATAGCAACTCCTGGAAGCATGTGTGCGGCCTGAAGGTCCATGCCAATCATGGACAATGCCCTTTATGTTTTTTGCGACTTTTTTGCACAATATTTGAATTGAGCTGGAGCTTCATCTGATTTGGGAGATGGGAGCCCTGCAAAAGTTTTGACTCAACGATAGGCCTGCTCGTAGCATGGTTGCATCGTCGGGCGTACTCAGCTCACCAGCCTAGTCAAAATCAACTTGGCTAAATGACATATATTGGCCGCCTAGCATTACACCCGGACCCTTGGCATCCGCCCTGCACACCTTGCCTCACCGCCTATATCCTCTGGCTTCAAGGTTTGTGCCTCGCATATAATCAGCTAGCTCAAAAAGCTCTTTGCAGCCAAGAGCTCGAACTGATGGCGCACCATGACAGAACCGGGAACAGATGCAGATCCACCTGGCATGAGCTTTGCACAACTCATCCCCTATAACCACCTTTTTTGTCCTGACAACAAAGAACTCTGAGCTGTCCTAAATATTTAAAAGCTTCAGAAAGAGAACATCTGAATTGTTCTTAAAATATGTGTCTAGGACTAAGGGTGATTTATTCAAAGTAAATGTCAAAAGAATTGAAAACGACTTATCGACATATCTTCAAGACCTGGCAGGTTCGGCGAAGGGTTCTTGTGTTCTGAAGAATCCGCTCGATGTTCCGAGTGTAGCTTCGCTCGGATCGGAACTCGGCGGCGGCAAATTGATGATCCAAAGGGCAAAGAGGCTGGCACATCATGGATTGGAAAAGAAGGGAAGCTAGAACTGCAGCCCACCAAAATGCCATCATTGAGAAGTAAGAACCCCTCTAGCTTTCAGCTACCTGGGGAATTAAAGAGCCCAAAATATGCCGAATATTGCCCAAGACTTCAGAATTTCAACAGTTTGAGTTTGATGATGACTTCGAAGTGGGCTACACACCACCGTGAAGCCCAAGTCGGTCTTCGCAAACTCAGAACCCTGGCTAAACGAACCAGTTCTTGTTATTTGGCCCGCTCCCTCCCCTTGCCTATTCAATTAAGTAGGCGCCTGAGGTGGCTACTACCTTGCTTATATAAGCTATTAGCATGGACGCAGAATAGCTCATGCTTCTTCAAGGAAGCTCCCCCCGCCGCCCTAAAGGTGGCAGGGATGAGCTTCCTTGAAGAAGCGCTCGCACTATTCATTTGGTTCTTAGATGTTTGGGGAACCTTAACATACCATTCTCTATGCACTGCATACTGTCAAGAGGGCCACGGACGCAGTGCAAAACAAGAAAAACACACACAGGCACTCCTGAGAACGCCTCTCGAAAACTGTGGACTTCGAGGTCTTAGGTTGAAGCCATCTCGTTGCGGCCAACCGGCTTCCATAAGCCCGTGTTGTTGCCTTCGAGGGATGCGAGTCAAAAGTCCCTGTTCCTAACTCTCAGCAGCCTACCTCTGCTTCACGGCTTACCCCCTGCAGCCTGCACCCTTAGAAATAAACATGTTGCTGTTCTCAGCAAGACAAAGAAGCAAAGCTGCTGTTTGTCCAAGGAGCCTTGCCGATCACGCAGACCCAGATCGAAGCCCCAGGCCTGAAACTTGGAGCAAAAGTGGATGCCATGAAGATCTGGGAGCCCGAAGGTAAGAAGAATTGAGGGAAACCTGGTGGGTGGCGCTGTTTGCAGGGCAGAATCTCAACTAAACAGGCCCCAAAAGATTGATTCCCAAGCTGGGTAGGCAGGTCAGCTTAGCAACTTTCCAGCTAGAGATGGCTGAGCAGCCCTGGCAGCCCTTACCACTACGCTCAAAATTTGCGACATCCCACCCGCTCCTCTAAGAAACAGCAGTCTGGAGAGACAACGCCACTGACGCAATATCGGAGTGGCCGATCTTCCTCTCCTGCAAAATGTACAGTCTGCTGAGTCCGCTGCTGATTGGAATAGGATTGCCAAGACAATAGCGTCCTGGTTTGGGTGGCAATACAAGCTTTGTAATTTGATCCTCAGTCAAAGGAAGCTTCAAGCGGAGCTAGTAAAAAGTAGAGAAAGTCAATCCATTCTCAGGCTCTTTCGTGACGGTGAACATCGTGGTTTGCGCTTGCACCATTACGGCGAATCTGGAAGGCTTCAGCAAACATTTCATTTGTGTCAGTCCACGTAGTATCTCATCTATTTTGTCGTGGGTCAGTGTTTTGTTTTGACTCCACTCAGAGGCTTGCTCAGAAGCATGGAAGCACACAGAAAGCTGCAGTTGTCCTCCTGGCCTCGTGTTTTCCCCATTTCATGATGTTGCTGTCCACATTCCAATAGTCACCAGACAGCCACCTGGATAACGTTTCTTTTGCATTGACAGCAAAATATTTGGACTGCCCAACGGGCCTTCGCTTCTGGTCACAGCCAATTTTATCATCGCTCAAATAGACTTTGGGCCCCTACAAAGTGCCCACACCGTCGACACGCTCAATGCCACCATACTTTGTTGGCTGGCAAGAGAAGCGATGCTTTGCAGAGAGCATCGGCAACTGTTGTCAATTTCACGAACATTCTTCTTGAAGCATGCCTGTCCTGTTTCACTTTGGTCACAAGTCCTGCCTTCACCTGGCCCCAGAGTCGAGAAGGGTCCTTGCTGAAGTTCACCTCATGGAGCTCCTGAAGAAGGCTTCGCAACCCAAAGCCCGAAGCATTGCGTGTCTTTGATGTGTGGCACGTCTGTTTTGGCACGGAAAGTAGCTCACAGAACTTAGAGGCCGAACCCGTGCCAAACCCAAAGTGAGCCCGCCAGAAGCCACCCACCACAAAACGGACCAAGACAGCATCTCTAGCAAAATGACGCAGCGACAAAAAGGTTATTGCATGTTGTTCTTGGCCATTTCTCAGGCTTGTGGACAGGTTTGAGTTCGTTTTGTACTAACCCGGTAATGCGGTACAGGGCTAATGAGAAGCCGGCATTTGACTAAGAAGGGCTCCATCAGAGCTTATTTCAAAGTCTGCATGTTAGACGACTGTGTCAAGTCGGATCTATGTTTATATACCCACACGACGAAAGAAATCTTGCTTTCTGTCTTCAACCGGTTGCAACTTAAACACTCCTCGATGGCTTCCCTGGGAATTCGATCATGGTGAGGGTTTTCTGGCAAGGCATTCTGCCTGAAGAAATCAGGGCCATGCAAAGTGTTACAGGTTTGCTTTTCACTTGAGCAATCCAAGACTGAGAGGTTGGCTTGCCATTGGAGCGTGAGGCCCGAGCGACGCCCAGGTTGAACCTTGATGGGTTGGCAAGATCTTCAAAGATCCAAGACTAAGCAAAATTGCGCTGCCAACAATTCGTGGCATTCTAGTTCCAAAACAAGAAACTATCGACTGACAAAATTCAGACCAAAAGAAACAAGCGGTTTTCTGCCATACAAAGCTATAGGCTATGGTCAAACTTTGCAGAGTAGACTGGGTATTCCAAGTTGGTCTCGTCAAAGGAGATTCGTTCACCCGGATCAGTACTCAAGGAAAGTAAGCTGAGGAAGAAGCCCGCCAGGACCGGCAAGAGTGCCACATCCGTAAGACATGGTAACTGTTTCAGCCAACACGGCTATACCGTGTCACAGCACAACATCTGACCTGCACTTGTTCAAGCAAAACTGCAAGTGGCAAAGCTGTTATATAAAAAGGTTGCGAAGTTTGGTGCTTGTTGTTTATTTTGTAGTTTCTGCGCTCGTCTGGCAAATTTGGGCAATTGTCCAAAAGCTTCTCATTGCGTCGAAGCAAAGTACCATCGTTTTCAAGGGTCTTTCCGATGTGTTTCCTTGGCCGCTTTGTTTTCAACTCTCCAAAAACTCAGTTGATTCACCCTTTTTTTGTCAGGCATGGCAACCATTCCAATAACATCTTTTCAACTGCCTGGCTGATCATCTCGATCCTTTCTAAGCATGCTTTGCTGCTTTGCTGTTGACCACTGCTCAACAGGATGTTTTTGTGAAGAAAGCTGTCAAGTTCGTCACGCATGAAAGGGCCCCTCAGCGATGCTGCTTGGAAAGGCAGGGCAGCAAGTCAGACTTCTGTTGGTACGGTTTGACCTAACCTGGTTGAACATTGGCACTGCTGCCAACAATCTGGACCCCATAGTAATTCTCGAAGCCAGAAACTCCACCTCAACAGCTCTTTACCATCACTCCTCTCCACTCGCGCCTGCACACGCTTGTGAACATCATGGCTTCCACGTAACACCAACCTAGTGACTAATTGTGCTGGGTCAATTTCTGATAGGCATCAAGTTTGAGAGAACCGCAATGGCGTCCATGAACCGAAGCTGTTGCAAGCCCACGGACATGGACTCATCTCACCCTAACGTTCCAGCTAGGGTTCCTCCTCACTCCCCTCCCCATGCAGGACCAGGACCTCAACTAAGATCTCAGCCCCTTCCTCATCATGACTGGCAACTTACAGCGAATGTGCTGGGTTTGCGCCAACATGATTCTTTTTTAGCACTCATCCGTGCACACTTCTACCCGTTGACCTCCGGCCAAAAGACATGTTTCCGGCCATGGGCAAAGCGATAGCCTTAAAAATGTCGCGCGAGAGCCATTCAATGGATGTTCTGGCTTTGTCATTATGTATTTCATATTCAGCCCGTTTGTCTGTCAAATTTTGCCAAACATATATACTTATTTATGTGTGAAGTGGCGCCAATGCCGTCTCGGACCTCCAACTCTGCTCTTTCCAATTCGATAACTGTTTGATCGCAGGATGTGTCCAGCAAGAGCGGGTCTTTTTCTGAGAAGGAGGTCCAAAAACAGTGGTATGTCGCGTCCTGCCATCTGGGACGCTGTCCTCAACATAAATTTGTTTGTGTTTCTGCGGTTGACGAAAGCTGATTCCAATCCTAAAACAGACCGTAATCCCCGAACCTGGAAAGATTGACTTTTTTCATCAAGGCTTGGGTCAAGTGCAAGGTCTCCAGTCTATAGATGAGTTTGCTTTGTATAATAACGGTGTGGTAAACACGGAGCCTCCATCCAATTGTGCAGTTTGCTGCTTTCCAAAAAGGTTTCCCTTATTACCTCAAGCGGACTGCATTACCTGGGGTATGTGCAATGGTGCCTTTACCCTTGACGAAGGCAGCACTTTTTGAGGGCGAGTGGCCTGCCAAGGACAAGGCTTCAAGCATGAGAGTATTTCAGCAGGGTTGCGGAGAGCAGAAGGTGTATCCAATCATGGGCAGCAACAGCAACAAAAACTTAAAAATTGTTGCAATTCCATCTCCCCACTGCTGTGAAGCTGACAATTCAAACAGGCTCTACCTCAGGAAATCAAGGCAGGCGTTGCAAACTTGACCCTCAAAGACAACCAAATGTCTTTGACGGATCCTTGCAAAGCATCCAAATTGAGAATACAATTTGGAAGCAGAAGTAGACTGGGAATCTCCCCGTACTTTCCTCCACCAAATTAACAGGAAACATCTTGAAGGAAAGTGCCGCGCGGCACTAATGGCCACCAAAGCTCTGGGTTCAAGCAAAATTGCATATGTACAGTACAGCCAAATTCGAAAGCAAAAGGAGCAAGTGATCAAGTTGGTCAGCATTTGGGTCCAAATGAGTTACACCATACGCAGTGTGCACTGATAGCATGCACAAGTCTGGCCATGTACCAACTTGCGCAACGCACACAAGACTCCTGACAGATTCTGAAAGTGAGGGCCTGGAAAGTCGTGCTTCCGCCGAAAAAATGATAGCAAAGTGAACAAAATTCCGCCAGCATAGACCCCAGGTAGCAAGAAAACTTTTGTGGGCAGCACACTGCAGCGGCACTCTGCAGCGCGAAGCAGCAATCTCAGGCAGTACCCGTACCCTGCAGCAGCACCAGCACCCAAGCTCAAAAACGCACACGGCCACACATCTGGCAGCGGCTCCCTGCACCGGCACCAGAACCCAAGCTCCAGCGCACACAGCCACACAACTGGCAACAGAACCCTGCAGCGGCACCAGCACCCAAGCTCCAAAGCGCACACGCCCACACATCTGGCACGGCCACACACCTGGCAGTGGCAACCTGCACGGCACCAGCACCCAAGCTCCAAAGCGCACGCCGCCACACGTCTTGCAGCGGCACCCTGCAGCGGCAGCAGCACCCAAGCTCCAAAGCACACACGGCCACACATCTGGCGGTGGCACCTCCAGCGGCACCAGCACCCAAGCTGCAAAATACACACGGCCAAAAGTCTGGCAGCGGCACCCTGCATCGGCACCAGCACCCGAGCTCCAAAGCACCACACATCTGGCAGCGGCACCCTGCAGCGGCACCAACACCGAAGCTCCAAAGCACACATGGCACCACCAAGCGCACAGGCCACACATATGGCAGTGGCACCCTGCAGCGGCACCAGCACCCAAGCTGCAAAGTGCACACGGCCACACAACACCCAAGCTCCAAAGCACACACGGCCACACATCTGGCAGCGGCACCCTGCAGCAGCACCAGCACCCAAGCTCCAAAGCGCACACGCCCACACATCTGGCAGCGGCATGCTGCAGCGGCACCAGCACACAAGCTCCAAAGCGCACACAGGCGGCACCTCTTCCTATACTTGAAGACCCCCAATAGCTCTCGCTAACTGGGGAAAGAGCACTAAACCAGCAAATGGTTTGTCTGATCTACCTAACACTCCTCCACTATTGCCGCACACAGCAGGCCCTCTGCTTCGACGGCTCATCCTCACGGTCAACTTGGAAATCAATTCACAAATTGGATGCTTCTGCAATAGATGGCAATAAAGAATGGGTGGCTTGCTGGAGGTACCCCAATGCACTTCCAAACGGTCGCATCTCGCCGATATCGCATTGTAGTACGCCTCTCCTTCGACAGGCTTAGCGAGTCTGGGATGTAAGGCTCATCCTGATAAAACTTGCTTGTGTGCTGGCTGCTATTGGATGGAATCTGCGATCACCAAAACACTATTCCTCGCGCCGGCGTTGCTGGATCACCATCTCAGCCAGCTTAATGAAAGCCTAAAATTTGAAGAGAAGCTGATAATGAATGCCATCACAGACCAGCATGTATATACTTGTACTAAAAACTTGTAAGCTGAATGTCCGTCCACCAGCATAAAGTGCTTTTTTACACATGCTACCTGCTTTGGCACCATTGCGTTCCTTACACCTGAAGATGCCAAAAGATGCATCGCACGACCAGTAAATGTTAATCATACAAAGTCAAACGCTGCTGGCTGATCTAGGTGACGCGCGAAAAACTCCCCCTACGTTCCATTTCCATGCACCTCCCCTCCCCCCAGCACATGGTTACAGTTCTGGTCCATGCTCGGGCCAATGGGTATCATGCCCTTTGGTGCTGCGTTAATGGATTTCCATAAAGAGTTCTTGAAGTAGGCCCTAGATTAGCCTGGCCATGCGCCCAGGATAGGTGCTAGCCCCCTGTACGCCTAGCAGCCTAGTGCCAGCCCAAATGATCCCTCAGCGCATTCCATGTGTTTTATCTTCCTCATGGAGAGGGAGTTCTGTGCAATCCCGTCTACATATCCCTTCAAGGAACATGCACGCTTTCTTGGCAAGAGGCGCAAGTTGGCAAAATCTAATTGTTTCTCAACCTGAGCATATATATACTTCAATAAACTGTTGCTAGTGGGCTGCCAAAGCCTTTCACAAAAAAATGATATATTCTATCTTCTAGGCTGAATCTTTATATAGATTCTTTTCTATGGCTATGTAGCAACTCTGCATAGGTGTTTGTGCGCCCCACCTGAACTTGTGCTTGGTTTTATAAGTCCAAAAGTTCTTCCAGGAAAAAAAATTGCCAGCCTGCAGACGTCCCTACATGCAGGAAACAATTAAAGAATTGCTCGATGTTAACATTGATAGAAATCAAACACCATATTTGCCACAAATTTCCATAACTGAGCAAAGCAATCAGAATGCTGATGCCTGATTGACGTTCTCTCCAAACCATGCGCTTGTCTCAAAGAAAGGTATGCCATACCTCGCACAAAATCTGAGTAAAGTGGCTCCATTGTGAGGCATCTGGGAAGCTGGCTTCTCTGCAAGTTCTTGACCCCTTCCAACTGCCACGGCGATGTCTTCCGCATCTGCCTTCTAACAAACCAAAAACAAGGCGCCTCATCATGTGTCGGGACCCTGCCTTGTTGCCAACAAGAACTCGTTGCACATCCTACCAGTGCTGAATGTTCAATGAAGCGTCCAACACCAACTGACCTGAAAATGGAGTTGCAAAGAATTATGCAGGTTTGCACAAAATCGATTATATATAAGTACATATATATATATTGTTTATACATACAACAATATTGACCCACAACATGTACAGTAACCTTGTCCGCATGCTTGGAGATTTGCTCGTTCCAGCGAGAGATGTTCTGAAAGGATGCCTGGTAGCTGCGGTGGCAACAGGCTGCCGTTGACAAGAGTGTGAAACAATGTGAAAGACTCACTACACACACCAAGACATGGCCAAGCAAATCCCAAATCAGCAGTCAAGTTTGTAGTGCCCGTATGTTTTGCGCATTACATTACACGGATTCGTGTACACCTGCAAGCACCTGATATACTAATATACTCCAACATGTATATTTACTGCAGCCTTCACTGACAAAAGTGGACTGGCGAATGAACGGCGCAACATATGTATATATATATATAGAGGAACAGAAAGGAAAAGGGAGATGAGGGAAGGAAGAGAAGGAAACAGGAGGAAAGGAGTGTAAAAAATGGAACAGAAATATATCAAGTAAGCATAGATATATAGATGTGGAAAATAGAGGCACGTGAAGCACAAGCTAAAGCAAGATTTAAAGGAAGAGATGACATTGCCTTTTGAAAACACGATCCGAGCAAATGGTGCCCACTGCAACTGCTCAACAAGGGTTGTACAATGTCGGACAGTTAACCATGGATTTGTTGAGCGTTTTGAAGACAAATAGCCAAAGCACATGGAGGCAAGTTCTCCACCATCAAGGTGAACTTCACATATGCGAGCATTTCGAACCCTTTCGGGCGTAAGTTCGTGCCGGACTTGGTGCAAGCGTAAGGCATGAGTTCTATCTTGGACATAGTGACTAATGTGTGCTGGACTGACTGCAAGATTGCAGCCTGCTCCAGTGGGGTTTAATCCGGAAAGTGAACAAGCAAATTAAATGTTGACTCTTGGGGCTCGCGGGTTCCTCACAGCGTGGAGCAGTTGGAGAGGGTGTTCAAGACTGAGGACTTGCGTCCTGAAATCCTGGGCCTCACGGCCTCAAGTAAGTGTAGCCTGCATATGTGGAATCTTGGCCAGTTCGTGCTTGCCTTATCAATCGCGGCTCGCGCTGCGTCTTTGGTGGCCTGAGAAAGAGCTTCTTGGTGGAAACACGTTCTGAGTGGGTGAACGCGGTTGAAGGTGGTTGAAGGTGGAGCGTCTTGAACTTGGCTAGGTCATTTTGCTTCAAGTGTCAAGTGAGTGAGTCTACATTCGCTAAAACGCAGCGCAAATTCACAAATCGCGTGACCGTTGGCCTCACAGCAGAGAATTGAAAACCCTGGTTGATCGAACTGAAGGTCTTTGAAGATCCTCCGGAAGCCACCCCACTGCCTTGAGGTCTGCGGAGCACCAAGGTTTTGTTTCGTAACGGAGTTCCTTTGCTTGAGCCGTGGGCAGAGGCACAGGAATCATTTGTGGGCAACTGTTTTTGTGGTGATGTGTGCTGTGGTAAAGTACAATGTTGTCATGTGATGCATGCAATTTGCTTACGTGGTGTTAGTGATGTTGTCTGAAAAGTTGGTGTGCAACCAAAATATCAGTGGTCTGTAAGCCACACTCATTGCTTAGGAGAGGAAGGAGGCAGCAGGGTGCTCAGCCCCAGAACATTTAGACAAACAACATTTCCCAAAGCCAGGGAATCGATGAGAACAGTCGTAAACGTTCTGCCGCGAACCACCGTGAAGTAAAGGGAGGGAAGGAAAATTGTGGGGTGGAGCATCTTGGCGTTGTGCTTCAGAACAAGTAGGCAGCCCAAAGATGCCAAAGGTCGCACCAAAGTCCATTAGGATGCCAGAGCCACTCCAAAACCCGCGATGCTTGTGCCAAGCCGTAACGTAACTACCAGGCAACAGCCAACTCACAAAAACATCTCAACTTCTTGAAAATGTCACATATGCAAGTCCCACATTCTCGGCAAAGAGACTGCAGAATCAAAAGCCGATAATCTGTTCGTCGGTACTGTATGTATGTATGTATGTATGTATGTATGTATGTATTTTTTCCTAGAGGGTTCTTTTCCTGCGAGTCGGTGGCTCATTGGCCGTTCTCTCTGCCGGCCGCGGCTGCTGGTAGTCCGCCATGGGCTCCTTGTCAGAAGTAGTCCACTTGCATTAGCGCTGCCTCATCCGTTTCCTCGATCAGGCAGTCTGTTTCTGGACTTTCCTCCTCTCAACCTTCTTGTGAGAGTGGCCCCACTTATGGGCTGTGGCTGGGTTTCATGGCCGGTGCAGTGGTTGCCTGCAAACCTGAGGTCTGAAAGGGAGTACGGCGGTGGAGTCCGGCCGAGACTGGTGTGGTGCTTGCCGCCTTGCGTTCATCTGCATGTGGTTCCTCTGCAGAGGATTGAACTTGAGCTTCTTGGGAGCCGGCGGTGAGAGGCTGGCAGCAGCGGTGGACTGCCCAGGAGGTGTCTCCGGCGCAGGCTGGGTGTCATGGCCAACTGGAGACTGTTTGCTTTTGGCTTGGGCGCCGAAGAGTTGATCCAGCGTGGGTGAAGACTGGCTCATTCCTCTGCATTCCTTTTTGAGCCCCTTCGTGAGGATCAGCCTCTCCTCATCATCCAAATGGCTTCGCAGCCCGCAGCCTTTGCACTTGATTTTTTTGCCTCGCTGCCACAGTGTGTGGGTGTGGTGACCCTGATGCTGGTGGCGGTAGGCGGCATCAATGCAGGGCCCTTCAACAAAGCTGCGAAAGGTGTCTTCGTTGGCTCGTTTGCGCACGGCCAGGTTGCACTTGCTGCATTTGAGATACCCTTTGCTCTCCTGGAAAGCATGTTCATCCGGTGTGACTGAATGTTGTTGCTGAACTTGGAGGAGGCCAGCAATGACGCTGGTGCGGGTTGGTTTCTTACCAACTGGCTTCTCAGGTAAGATGTCAGGTTCTGGAGTCTGGTCTCGAAGGTCTCCACAGTGAGACCTTGGTGGACCCTGGTTTGGCAGGTGTGGGGAGCCGCTTCTTGTATGGTCGTGTGGCCAGCATTGCGGCTTGGTTGTCGTGGAGGTAGTGCTGTGGATCTTTAAAGATCTTCTCAAGGCGGGCTGCTGCATGAGTGTAGACCTCCATGTTGTCTTGGTCCAAGGTACGCTGCCACGCTTCTGCACGCTGGTCATAGATGGTGTTGGCCCTCTCCCATGCTGCCAGCGCAGCGTCCCTTTGTCTTTGCCTTAGGTGTGGCTCGTTTGCTGGTGCGTCTGGTGTGCTCTGGTTTCTTGCTGATGTAGAGTGGTGTGATTCTCTTATGTCTCCTCCGGTTGCGCTTAAACAAGGTCATGGAACCCCTTGCGTTTTTTGGGGTTGGTCCAGGCTTCCCAGACGGAGCCTAATTGCACAATGACCGTGACTGGTGTTTGGACAAACTGCGCTCCTGGAAAAGTGCCCTCGTGATGGCGCCTTTCCGTTGAAGGGCGCCAAGTGAGTAGCTGTGGACGCAGAGGGCGCAAATCCAGGCTTGAGCTCTCTTGTCCGCGGACGTTGGCGTGGCATCAACCGTGACGGACAGTCCTTGCCAGGGTTGTAGTGGTAGTGGTTCGAGGCTTTGCCAACATCCATGTCCTCAAAGGTGTGCTCCAAATTGTCTTACGGCTCCTTGCGAGTCCAGCCATGAGCCCAAAGGGGCTCTTCCAAAATCTTGTAGCCTTTCAGTCCATGGGATGGGGACGCTGGCCTTGGCGCCATTTGCATAGCCACAGGATGTGCTTTGGCGTTGCCGGGACATTGCACAAGGGGCATGGTCGTGTTTTGTCCCCGTGCTTATAGTGCTTGGTTCCAGGATCGGATGTTGCTTTGCTGAGCTTCTTCATGGCCTTGTGTGCCACTGTCCAATCGGTCCCGCTGACCAAGCGCTGGCAATTCTTTTTGTTGGCAAAGCGGTGTCGTCGTCGTTGCGCTTCTTTCAAGACAACCTCTTCAACAACCCACCACTCCGCTCTCATGTCGATGTGTGCCTCAGTCATATAGGCTGTTTCATGGCGGGTCCATGAGTAGAGACTGCCTGTGGTCCATCCCCATTCACGCAAGTAGGCAAGCGTTGCCGCCATTGGACCCTTCACGTCGTACCAAAGGTAGGTTTGCTTCCGGAGCTGATTGCGGAGCCCCAGCCACGCTTGCTCGATGTGTGGCAAGGTGATCTGGACGCCAGTGCACCTAGGGCATGGATGTGCTGTAGTACCACTTGGTCACCTGGATCCATGTATTTGTGGCTGTGTTGGTCGTAGACCACATCGGTTTGGCCTCCACTGTGGAGTCCAAGGTGGCTGGCCAATGCATGTGGCGGGTCATCTGACATCTGGGCGTAGAAGCTTGGAGAGGGCTTTGTGCGTGATCTTGTCCGTCACGATGAAAGCCGTTTTTTGGTTGCTCACCTTCAGCCCCACCTCTTGTACTGGGGTCTTTCCATGCGCTGGTGACTCTGTGGGCAAGGGCTTGGGCATCAGTGTGACTGCCATCATCAATCCAGCCATTCAAATGGAGACCCTGGTATTTGGCCTGGAATGGTCCAAGGATGGGCTGCAGGAAGGTCTTGGCAAGCAAAGGGGCTTGCGGGCAGCCCGCTGCCATGCCCTTGGTGACATGGAACCAGTAGCTGAGTTCGGCATCAGCCAGCACTGCTTTTGGTCCTGCGTAGACCTGCATGGCCATGCTTGGAGAGTGTCTTGTTGCTCTCCTGGCGCAGGAGTCGCTCCAAAGCGACATGTAGGGCTGTAGCTCCTGGGCGGGCACGGTCGTAGTCTATGTGTCTGGGCAGCTGGAGCTGCCATTGGTCCAGGATGTTCTTCCTCAGGCGGCACCAAGTGCGGTAGAGGACACTGGTGAGCGCGATTGGTCTTTCGACCTTTTTGTTCTTGGCCAACATGCCACCAAACTCATTTGGAGTTGTGTTGGGAGTGTTGCCGTGGCTTCCATGTCCCGTAGGATCTTCAGGAGGACTGGCAGTGCCTGGGGTGGAGCTGTGCAGAGCAGCTGGTGGACATGGCATCCGGCCCAATTGGCGGAAGGCCAGAAGGCTCATGTTGCGCTACAGCCGCTACAATATATTTCTGGAGGCCCTGAGGATTGGGAGTTGGGCAGCCTCTTGTTGTAGAGTCTGCCTGGGCATGGTCTGGTTGTCCTCAGTGGGTTGCCAATGCGCATGCC